TTAATATAACGTTACGTTCGGTACAAGAGATATTTTTTTGTTTTGGTAAAAAAAGATTTTCTGAAATATGGTGAGAAATATTTTTATCCGGGTAAGTTATGAAAAGATGTTTGGTAGATCCAAAATTTTACCTGGAAAGTTTTGTATTTTTTCTGATGCTATGTTTGGTTGATTGCAAAATATTGATTTTAAATATTAACTGAAATCACAAAAATACGCATAGTTAATATTGAATAAATTTTGAACGTTGCTTTGAGAGGAGTTATTAATTTGTCGGAAATGGAGGGTAAGAAATTTCTCTCAAAATTTCCCCACCTACCATCGTTTCTCAAATACCACATTTTGGATGGCCATCTATAATCGGATGTTTATGTGTAATTTGAAATCCTGGTGCAAAAATATTTCCTTGGATAATTTTATATTTTCTTGTACCAAACAAGGGAATATCAGATAGCCACTACCATTTTCCCGGGGAAAAAATATTTGCACACGTACCAAGCACCACCTAATAGGTATATGATCAATTTGCCATGTGAATTTTATTGAACTTTTGAACTTATGGTTGATGGATTATATCTACTTTGGTGGATTCCTTTTGCTTCCATGATTTAATATGTGCACGCTTTATCATTAGATATTGCTTTATATCATTTTTAAATTCTTTAATTGTTTTAATGTTGCGAAAAAGAGGTTAATACACAGGAAAATCGACAAACGAGAAATATATAGGAAATACAACCTTTTATTATTTTATGAATATTTTGCCATTTATGCCTTTGGAAAATTCAAAAAAAATTTGAGCAAGTACAGTGAAAATATGTGTTTGATCCTCTTCAGTATTGCCTCTGCGAGAAATTTAAAATCTTAATTCTAAAACCTGCCTCAAATCAGACTAATAATAAAACGATGAACTGATTAAAATATTTAAAAAAATCTTCAATATTCAAATCAACATATAAATCTCGTTTATAAGATGTGTTTTTCTTATAACGTAATAAAATATACAACATTAAAATGGCCGACAGAAGTACTTTATTTCGTCAGCGAATTTGGCATTGGCGTCAAATTCACCGATAGCATTGTCAATATACTAACATGCGATATCTTTGTCTGTTGATGTAGTCATTGGTTAATTCCGTTATCTGTTTGCAATTTTTGTAGTTAGTAGCGATGAATAGATTTGGTTAATAACTATAATTAATTCACAATCAATTCTAACATTAACAAAATATAATAGAAAAAGTACTTCTTACAAAAGTTTTCTTTTCTTTTTTTCCTTTTTTTTTTGGAAATAAGGGAATGAAATAAAAACGCTTACAACATCTGGCAAAAAAATTAATTTATTATTTTTTTAATAAAAAATTATGAATAAGTTGTCGTTTTGCAAAAAATTACGAATCTATAACACCCAAACACGCCCACATGGGGCGTGTTCTGATGGAGAGAGACACGCCCATGTGGGGCGTGAGCTTGTGAAGGAAACACACCCTATGTAGGGCGTGTGTGGTCACGCCTAAGATAAGGCGTGTTCAGTGGGTTGACACGCACAAATATGGGCGTGAGTGACTAAACTGACTGCTATTTAAACACCCACCCCCTACACACTCTTCACAATTCTGTCATTGTTATGCTAAACTCTCTGATAGTTTGCACTTATTTACTCATATTTTGTTTTATCTTTTAAAATTTTGTTTTTAAAAATGAGTGTGAATTCTGATACTATTCGTGTCGTTCTATATTTTAACGGTAGGAAAGAAGAAGGTCATCGTGGTGTTATTTTTGTAGGGGAGAAAAGGCCATCACGTATTAAACGAAACTCAACGGTTGCTGAGCTGCATCAGAAAATACGTCAAAAATTATGTCTTCAAGACCTATGTAGCACCGATACGACACGCGACACGTGACACGACACGACACGACACTCCGACACGTCAATCTTAAAAAATTATGGATTTCGACACGTTGGGACACGTTTTAATATTAAATAATATTTTTAATTTATATAGTGTATATTTCATTTAATATTTAATAAACAAAAAAAATGAAACTAAATTAATAATACCCATCAACACGTTATAAAGATGGAAGCTTTAATAAAAAAAATAAGAACTGGGATGAGAGAGAGATATAATATCAGATAGAGAGATCAAATCATATTAGAGAGAGATACAACAAGAGCGTGATGGGAATTGACAACAATGATGCTGAGATGATCTCTTATCTACTTAAGGGGAAAAAAGACAAAAAGATAAAATTGATATGATTAGGTGGAAGCTTTATTAATATATTTTAACTTTTTAAAAAAAAAAAAATTTAAAAAAAAAATTAAAAAAAAAAATTAAAAAAAATTACGAAAATGCCATTTGACCGTGTCGGACACAGTCAAATTCGCGTGTCGGAATAGTCAACGTGTCGGAAAAAGTCAACCGCGTGTCCGACACCGTGTCGGAGCGTGTCGCCGTGTCGGAGCGTGTCGGACCCGACTCTTCCTGTTTTTACAAGTGTCCGCGCTTCCTTGTTCAAGATAACCAATTGATCACTCTTGTCACGGCAAGGTTATGGCAACGTGAACAATACATTAGCTTGCAAGTGGTCGATGACGAAGACATCAATATGGTAATGGAAGAGTTCTTGAACCAGTGTAGAAAGGATTTTTTAGAGTTGTATGTGGATACTACAACCGCGGAGGAAGTTGTCATACCAATGAGGTCAGTTAGGTCTACTTCTCCTCTTAATGCATCATCATCTGTTGTTCCTGTTGTTCCTGCTGTTAACATGTCTGAGGAAGATGAACATGACCCTACTTGGGTTATGGATGAGGAGTATGACGAAGATGATGAGGAAAATATTGCAATAGAGGATCGTCTTCTTTTAGAGGATGCGAGTGCATCGGACAATGACGAAGAATGTGGCAGGTCTGGTACTGAACTTCAACCAGTGCATGATTTGGGGGAGTCTCGTATCGTTGTACATTAGGCACAACATCGAGTCAAGTACCAGAACATCCTGAAGGTATGCTATCAATTAATATACTGACAGTTTGGTTGTTGCAATTTTTGATTAAGAAAATAATTCAATTCTATTATTATTATTACGTAGTACATGTAGGCGATGCACCTGTTGATCCTTTTTGGTCAGAAATTCCACATTACACATATATTGATTGGGATTATCCGAGTGAGGCACAATCATGGACGCAGAGTTCGGGTTCAATCCAGGGTCCTTGGCAATTGGGAGAAAAGTTGTTTGTTAACCAACAATTTACATCCAAAAAAGAGGCTCAGATGGCAATCAAGCTTTACCTCATGAAGGAGCATCAAGAAGCAATTATGGTTGAGAGCACTCCCACAAAATTAAGCATGAAATGTTGTGCACATGTCCAAGGTTGCCCGTGGAGGGTCAGGGTAATTAAACCAACGTATGGTGAAAATTGGAAGGTGACGAAATGGGGTGGGAAGCACAATTGCTTGAATGACCATATTTCTCAAGATCATCGACAACTTGATTCTGACGTTATTGCAGCACTTGTAGTAGGTATGTAATTTCAAATTAAAAAGCTGATTAAAATTGCAGTTGATATACCTGTTGTTCTGTTAATGTTTATATCCAGCTTTTGTGATTCAGAGATGATAAAAAAGGAACCTTCAGTGGCCATTTCGCTCGTTCAGGAGAGGATAACGCATTCATATGGATTCAAAGTTTCATATCGAAAGGCATGGTATGCGAAGCAGAAAGCAATGGCAATGTTATATGGTGATTGAGAGGAGTCCTATGCATTTTTACCCAACTGGTGTGAATATATGCTTCGTTTTTCACCAGGTTCCTTTTAGAATATTCAAACAAAGGATTGTTTTGTTGGGGGGCAGTTGGTTACCGGAAAACGTGTATTTGTTCGTTGTTTCTGGACTTTCAGACAATGTTGCGAGGCATTTAAATTTTGCAAACCAATGATACAAATTGATGGCACTCATCTATACGGGAAATATAAGGGAAAGTTATTGATTGCCACAGCTCAAGATGGTAATAATGAATGTGTGCCACTTGCATTTTCTGTTGTTGAGGGTGAGACATTGGAGGCTTGGTCATACTTCCTTGCCAATCTTCATCAGCACGTCACTCAAGCGGATAATATATGTCTAATTTCAGACCGGCATGTTAGCATATTATCGGCTGTTGAAAATAATCCCCTATGGCAGCCACCCCATGCATTTCATGTGTTTTGTCTGCAACATGTTGCAAGCAATTTTAATCAACGATTTAGAAATGACAAATTGAAGGCTAGCCTGATGAATATAGGTATGTTGCACACTATGATTGGTGAATTAAATAATTGTAGTTTTTTCGTTAAGCGTCAACTGTGTGTTTTTTAAATTGTTCGCAGGATATACTCCTTGCATGGTGGATTTTGAGAGGTCGCTAGCACGATTTTGAGACACAAGCAGGCAGGTAGCAGAATGGATTGATGCCATCCCTAAGGAAAAGTGGTCGCGTGCACATGACCTTAATGGACGAAGATTTGGGCATATGACAACAAACTTGGCAGAATCCATAAATAGAGTGTTAAAGGGAGCAAGAAACATGCCCATTACTGGTCTGGTAAAATTTACATACAGTAGATTGGTTCAATATTGCGTGCAAAGAGGTCAATCGGCTTGTAGGCAACTTGAATCTGGTCATAGTTATTGCAAAAATGTGATTGAATCTTTGACACATAATGAATCCGTGGCAACAATGCATACTGTGCGTACATATAATGTTGATGAAACCGTTTTTGAGGTGGATGCAGGGTTTGAAAGGACATATGATGTTAACCTTACTGCTCGTACATGCCAATGTGGACAATTTAAAGCATTTAAATATCCTTGTAGTCACGTCGTTGCTGCAGCGTTATCCATTCGTCGAAATTATCGACAATATATAGATGATGTATTCAAGATGTGAAACTTGGTCAAGGCATACTCATTTCCATGGCAACCAAGACTTGGTCATGCCAAAAACAATTAATAATAGATATCACAAACCTCGTCTCTATAAAGCGTGTCAAGGTTTGCCCAATACCAAGACTGCTCATGTGGCTTAAAGGGAGGTAGGGAATTAAACCTGTAATGGAATGTGTAAACCATTATCATACTCATTCAACAAATGAACATGTAATAAATTAGTCAATATGAGTTAATAAAATATACCTGTGACCAAAATGCCACTCCGGGTGGGTAGGCTGCGGGATAGGTGGTGCAATGGGGGGGAATCTAATCCAAGCCCATATACGTGACAACCACCCAGATTTACAGTCCGCGGGTTTGTTGCCACACATAAATGTCTAAAGAGATGGGCGAGAACCGCAGACCCCCAACTGTATCTGCCAATGTCGGTAAAGTCCCCTGCAAACAGTGGAACGTAACGACAAGCAATTTTGCTGCCACCTGATCTGTCACACACTAACCATGAGCCTAATAGCCGCAAAATGTGTGCCTTGGTGTAACGCCTCACCTCCTCTGGATTGTGTGCTACTGTAAACCAATCAGCGTATATCTTGTCTAAGTAAGATATACGTAGATCGCCTCCGTGAATGTCTGTGCCCGTAACTGGGGTAGTCCCAAAAACCTCCTAACACATAGCAATCCAATCCAACGCTGTAGATCCAGTAACTGCCTGCCCGTCAGTAGGCAAACCAAGTATACCAGCCACGTCCTGTAATGTAACGGTCATCTCTCCCTGCGTCATATGAAATGTGTGTGTCTCCGGTCTCCAACGCTCAACCAAAGCAGATATCAAGGGGGTATCGATCTGAAGGAAAAACAACAATTATACAAAGTCCACATACGGTAATTTAATTAAGCTATTTGAACATTACATACCTGAACATGACTCATACGTGCCACGTGTATGAACCCAGCCTGTGTCAAATAGTCAGCGACAACGTCTGGTATATCATCGTGATGGGGTCCCCCCTGAAGTTTCCCTCGCCTCGTCTTTAACCCCCTAACCGTATCCTCGTTCCACACAACTTGTGAAACGTGATTGCGCTGTGTCCTCTTACGGAGTACCTCCCACCTATATGGACCAGGAAGTACATGCGTACAAGGATCGGATGGCTCAAGATCACCATCGGATCCAGAGCGCGAGGACTCTGATGAAGACGAATGGGCCATAATAGAAACTACTACAGATGAAAAAGATGTACCCAAATTAGTATTGATATTATATTAATTTACACTAAATAAAATTTAATTGCACTTAATTAAATAGCATTTAACTAATAACTTCAATTGTTATATTAATTTCAATTACATTAACATCATTGACAATTAATTCATTTAACATTACATTATTCTATCAATATATTTCAATACAAATATTAATTCAAATTCAATTTAAATTAATATTGTATACGTTATTCATTCGTCTTTAACCCTAATTATACTGTGGTTAATTGAAAGGTCAATATGTTTGCAAGTGTCATTCATAAAAAAAAATTAATTGTCACAAACTAATTTCTAAGTGTGTAAATAAGTCATAAAACCAACATATACCAATTTAGAAGTAACTAATTAATTTGTAAGTCATATAATATATAAGTCACATCACAATCTTACATAGGTCACTAATATTTTTCTAACCCCCCTAACAATTAAATAAAGTCACAAATATTTTTCTAACCCCATAACAATTATCTAAGTCGCTAATAACTATCATATATTAATTGCTGTTAATAAAAAAAATAAACAATAAATAGGGACTTACATGAGAGAGAGACAGAGCTTCGCTGCGCAAAACCCTCCAAAAGAAATTTAGAGAGAAGGAGGAGGAGGAGGTTTAGAGAGAGGATGGGAGGGTGGAAATGAGGTAAAAAAGTGAAAAACGAATTTATATACACCGCGGATAACACGCCCTATCGTGGGCGTGTCTCTCTCCTGGAACACGCCCTTCCTTGGCCGTGTTTGCTTCATAAGCTCACGCCCTACCCTAGGCGTGTCTCTCTACTGCCACACTGATAAACCTTTAGTTTATCTTGTTTAATGGACTAAAATAATATGAATTATCTAGTTGAACAAGTCAAAAATTAGGGTTTTAAAATGATAATCATGAACATTATCTGATTGTTGGAACTAATTAATATATTTGTTATTTTTAAAAGGGATTTGATAACAAATGATTCAAATATGAAGATTTAGATAAAGAGAGATCAAATCAGAAAAGAAGATGAATCAAGGTGAAAACAATAAGATTGAAGATCTTATCAAGTTATTAGAAGTGGGAGCTTAAGCCCCCATTCACAAGCTTAAGCGCCCAGACAAGTCCAACTTAGGCCCATTCAAGTTTTCTACTGTAATACGAACTCTTGACCTATTTAAACACCATTGGGGACCAGAAATACATAACTTTTACATTGCTAAACAACTCTTGGGTGCTCGGAGGCTGAAGGAACGCGGAGGAACATCAGATTCATGTTCGTGAGGGGCGAAGACGGATCAACGTCAAGTGTTCACTGGAGATATTGAAGATCCACCAATCACTTATGGAGTTTGGGGGAGCTTTTCTATTTTCTTTTGTTCTTGATTTTGCTATGTCCGGCTAGTTCTTTAAGTAGTTAGGGTTAGATGGATTTTAGTCAATTTATTATGTTTTGAACAATTCACTGTGTTAATTTTCCTTTATATCATGAATGAAGTTATATGTTTTTAATGCTTTATATTGGCTTGAATCTTATATAATGATCATCGGTGAATGCATGACAATAGGAATGTTGGTGTGTGATCCATATCTGATAACTTCATCGTAAACGTTATGATTCTAGGGATAGACATAGGGTTTGCGTAATCTTTAAGATTCTTGAATCTAATTCTTGAATTTAATGCTTGCATGCTTGGGGAATAACCGGGGAACTAGGGTTCTTCCAATATTTTAAAAGTTTTAAAGTAACAAGGGATTGAGCTCTAATAACATGCGAAAGAATTAATTAGATTGATAATAAGGACAATTAACATTAAGAAGGAATTCAAACGTAATAAGGAGATTAAATGAAATCGAACCCCTAGCTACGTTTTTATTTTATTAGTTAAATCACATCTTTAATTTCTTGTCTTTAATTCTTGCAAGTAATTAGCTTTAATATTTAATATTTTAATTTTGCAATTCAAATCCTGTTTCCAAATACACTTTCGATTGTCCAACTAAGTTTGCGATAGTGAATTAGTGCTTGAACCGTAATCCTCGTGGGAACGATCTCTTACTTAATCATATATTACTTGTACGATCGGTGCACTTGCCGTGAGTAGCAACACAAACACGCCCTACCTTCGGCGTGTTTCTTTCACAAGCTCACGCCCCACATGGGCGTGTCTTTCTCCATCAGAACATGCCCCATGTGGGCGTGTTTGGGTGCTATAGATTCGTAATTTTTTGCAAAACGACAACTTATTCGTAATTTTTTATTAAAAAAGTAATAAATTAATTTTTTTGCCTACAACATCTTACAAAAGCTTTTTGTACCGATGTTACGAATCACTTTTCGCAATATTTAACATTTTCCATTCTTGAAATTTTGCTCTCTTTATTTTTTGGTAAATAAATTTTGCTCCTTTAATATTGGTATACATGGAAGTGGAGTGACGGAAAAAGCATAAAAAAGAAAAACTGTAATGGACGTTTTTTTATGTCTGTATATAATCAAACAAAAAAACAACTTAATGAAATTACATAGTTCTCGGTAAATTGTGAATTCAGACATACTTACGAAAAAACATTGTTCTCTGTAAATTGTGAATCATATATGCTTAATTATTTTTCTACATTTGTTACTTAAAAAAAATATTCGCAGAGTTTTTAAAAGCTCAACAAAAACCCACAAAAGTATATAATCAGATAATAAAAGATTAACCATTTAAAATTTTGTAAAAATACATTTTGTTCCGGAACCACGTATGTGGAATTCAACGGGCCGGCAATTACAGCCCATTATAGGAACAAAACCCCTTCACCCAAATATAAATATTCCTTCACCTCACCTCTCACATAGAGGTGTCTCATCTAATGAGTTTCACAAGGGTAAAATGATTATACCTCCTCTCACACCTGGAAATTTTTCCTCCTATAAATACCTTATTTGGATAAGATGTTTATTTACCGATCCAAACTGATTCAAACTGCGGTAACTAAATAAAGAAATTGATAACCGAATTAATCAAAAATCGAAAAAAAAAACACGTAAATTTTAATTAGATTAGATCAATTTTTGATTTAGCCGGTGTAAACCGATCCAATCCAAACTTACTCTCTATCTATTTGGGCCTATTCCCAAATATGGGTCAAAAGAATTTGATTTAATGTTTTAAGTTTACTTTCGTTATGTTATGGAATTTCTTTTTAGGATATTTATACAATTTGCAATGAAGTATTTTTTTAGTAGAACTTCGATCAAGTATTTTTTGTTATTAGTGATTTTGGAAAACTTATTACTCCGTGTTGCCAAAAATTTTTGCTGGTTCCGGTACAAAAGATCCATGATAAATAATGCTCATTATGGTAAAAATAATCTCATAAATTTTATTTTTAAGCTTTTCGAAAAAATCAAAAACAGACTTAATCCAAACTAAATAAAATCAAATTTGAAAAAAAAAATTCAAACCGAATGGATGATCAAAAGATCAAACCAAAAGAGTTGGATCAGATAATTTTTTGTTTCAAAACCAATTCAATTCAAATCGCAACACCCCTAATAGAAAAGATATTTTTTTTCACACTAACTCACATTGTTGATACTTTAAAAATAGAATTTAAAAAAAGTTAAAAAAGTAACTTTTTGTAGAAGTCAAAAAATAATAATTTTTTAAAAATTTAATTTTATCGCAACTACTTCACCCCATTACAATCATTCACATATCTTTATTAGTAATTTTATATATAAAAGAGAAATATATTTTTATTTTTGTTGTAGAAAAAAGTTCTCTATCAAACTCACGTAAAAATGAATGGATTCCATTGTAAAGAGAAGAGAAAGAAAAGATTGATCACATCCACTCACTTTTATGCGAGTGACAAAAAAAATTTCTATAATAAAAACAAAAATATTAAACCCTATATAAAAGTACTTATTAATTTTATATATTCTATTCAAATGTAAAATAGTTTTAACTATTAAAAAAATTCAAAGCAAGCTTAAAAGTCTTTCTTTTTAAATTCATCCAGCACTAAAATTGCTCACAGAAGTCCTAAGGTTGCCAACGAAACTTTTCGACAGCTATGCCATTGGTAATATTTGGCATTTATTCGGTTGTTAGGGAAAAATCAATATATAACTTGAGATGTGGAATCGGGATTGGCATCAAATTCGCCGATAGGTTTGTCAATATACTACACTCAACATGCGATATCTTTGTCTGTTGATGTAGTCATTGGCTAATGTATATGAATTTTCTCTCGTGAAAAATTATGTGAAAAATTATAACTATATAAAAATAAATTAATGATAATTCTATCATCTCTTTGCAATTATTGAAGTTAGAAGCGATGAATAGATTTGATTGATAACAATAATTAATTCGCAATCAATTCTAACATTAAAAAAGTATAATAAACAAAAGTATTTCTTACAAAAGCTTTTGTAACGATGTTAGGAATTACTTTTCATAATACTTAACATTTTCCTTTCTTGAAATTTTGTTCCGTTAATATCAGTGTTATTAAATTCGACTCGGACATTGATTCAGTCGGGGTACTGAATTACCGAGTCACTGATTGAACCGGTGGGTCACTGGTCAGACCGGTTGATCCGGATATATATAGATATATAAAAAAATATATAAATATAAACATATAAATTCAATTATATTCTCCATATCTAAAATGAATTAAACAAGGTTCATTAAATAAACTCAAAAACAAGAAGCATAAATAAATAAAAATACATGTCAATTTAAATTAAAACTCATAATCTCCTTATAATATCTCTCAATAACATTGAACTCATATTTTTCAAATTCAACTACATTAAAAATGACATATGTCACATTCTCTTAATTTATTATTCCGCAAATTGCTTCAATATTAGAAACTGAAATTTGAGGTCATTGTAGAAGAGTATACTAGCAAATAAAATTACAAAAAGTTTTTAAAATGAGTTCTACATTTTTTTGACAAGATGAAACAATTTTGGTTTTTTTTTTTTAAATGCATAACCCGACCGGGTCACCAGGTTTGGCCGATTTTGTCTGGGTTTGACCGGGTCGATGTATGATCGGTCCAATGCTAAACCCGAAGCGATTCGATGACCGGTTCACCGGGTTCCGGGTCGACCCGACCGGATTTTACAACTATGGTTAATATTGGTATTCAAGGCAGTGGAGTGACGGAAAAAGAATAAAAAAGAAAAACGTAATGAATGTGTTTTATGTATTCATAAAAATCAATGTTAATAAAATCCGATCTGGTTAGTTGACCCGAAAATCGATAAATCGGTCATATAACCGGTTTAGATAAAGCAATGAACTGATCATGCATCAGAATCGGTGCGACTCAGCCGATTTTTTTAAAATTTGATGACCCGGTCCGGTCCCAAAAAAAATTACAAAAAAAAATTACAAAAAAAAAAAAAACATAATGGATATATTTGAGTATTTTTTGCTTATTAACTTATATATATTATGTACCTACAACACTAATATTATCTCAATTATGTACTATGTAGGAAATTTCGATTTGATTTATAATTAGAGATATCGTTTACTGAATCTGAAGCCCTGTATCATGATCATTATATTTTTGTTTGATCCTTTATTGAATAATAATGTGTGATTTATTATTTTTTTATATTAAAATGTTTGAAATTTTTATCCTTTTTTAGATATTTGAATATGTTTATAATTTTTTAATATCTTCACCGGTTGAGCCAGTGACCCAGTACCTCGACCGGATCAATTTTAATAATATTCATAAAAACAAACAAAAAAATAACTTATGAACTTACATAGTTGTCTGTAAATTGTGAATTCAGACGTACTTATGAAAAAACATAATTCTCTGTAAATTGGGAATCATATATGCTTAATTATTTCTCTAGATTTGTTATTTAAAAAAAAATTATCAGCAGAGTTTTTTTAAGCTCACAAAAGTATATAACTAGATAATAAAAAAGGAAAAAGTATTTCTCCCGTCACCGAAGATGAAGTTATCTCTGATTAACTTAAAACGACATCGTTTTGTAAGATTAAAAAATTATAATGATTGTTTCCAAAAAAAAAAATTATAATAATAAAGACTAATATAACCATACTATATTAGAATTACAAAAACACCTTGAATTTTGTCCTAAACAATATTATTTTAGACTCATCGGAGATAAATTTTCTCTATTTACTTGAAAAATATTTTATCTAATAAAAATTAACCATTTAAAATCTTATAAAAATACATATTGTTATTGAAAAGCGACATGGGTGGAATTAAATAGACGGGCAATTGCAGCCCATAAATATAAATGTTCCATCACCTCACCTCTCACATAAACGTGATGATGCATTGCCTCATTTTGGTGGGTCTCACAAGGGTAAAATGGTTATATATACCTTTTTTCATCAAAACAATATTATAAATATTTCAAATGTTTTTATGATTTTTTATAATTTTTTTACTTTATAATTTTACGTTTTATGATTTTTTTATTTCCTTTTCAATTTTACATAAAATCTCAATTTTAATTACCTTATTCGTAAATGGGAATTTTTTTTTCCTATAGATATCTCATTTTCATAGAAAAGATACTTTTTGCACACTCTCCAAATTCATTGTGCCCTCGTACTCTACTCTGATTGCAGACTTTGTTCGAAGGGAAAAATATTTGTCCTTTTAAATGACATAACTTATATCTTTTCATTTTTACAAAGAGGCGAGACTCATACCTTTATATTTTTTGTCCACTCTCTCTTCACCTTTATCTATTTATTTCTCTCACTTAAAATGACATTACTTTACATCTTTTAAAATGATACATAATTTTCCCTTGTTTGAAATTCACTCATTGTGACTCCATCATAGAGCTTTGCTTATACAAATGACACTCCGTAATAGAAAATAGATCTAATCCCAACACATAATTGTCAACAAATATACATAATATATTATGGATGGAGAATGTTATATTTATAAATTTTTTATTTATAAACTCTTACAAATTATACTATGTCTGACCAGTCATACTTCAATCAAGAGTGTATGACTGGTCATACTTAGTGTAATTTGTAAGAAAAAATTTGTAACAGATCCTTCCCTATTATGGATATATGTAAATTTATTTTCTTTACTTTTATTTTCAACTATTACATGTAAATGTTTACTTTTCACCTTAGAAAACATAAATGAGAAAAAATATTTTTGTTTTGCCACACAATTTTTTTTCCATACTCACATAAAGATGACTGGATTCCATTATAAATGGAAAAGAGAAAAAACAAATAATAGGATCCATACTCTTTAATATGGGTGTGGCTAGGGATGTTAATGGTTCGAGCCGGGCTAAACTTTGGTATTAAAAGAGCAAGTCTGTGTTTAAATATGTCTGATTGACTTAGCCTATAACTTGTTATGAATATAATTATTGGTCTATGGCCTGACTTATTTACAAAAAATAAAAGTTTGGCTTAGCATATGAAAAAAAAAACAAAAATTTATCCAAATAGATATACGATCAACATCGCTAATAATTCTATAAAGATTCATAAATTCAATATATATCAAAACATCATAATATAGAACAAAATTATTCAAATAGTCTGCTTAACCAATAAACTAAAGCAGTACTAAATTCTGCATATCCAAAAGACTACAAATTCTGCATAAATAATTTAACTATAATATCAATAATTTAATATATTGTAATGTTGTCTTCTCCTATATATATAAAAAAAATCAGATTATTTTTTACATTCAATTATAATATCATAAAATACAAATAAATAATATAAAAAATATAAAATAAAAATAAAATTTAGTATCCTATGTCAACTTAACAGACTCTAAAGCTAAACTTTTGAATTGAAGACTACAAAATTCAAATTTGTATTTAATAATCAAAATAGACGGATCGACCAAGCCCTACAAAAGAGAAACATTAACTTGAACCATCAACTCAATCCCGTTAATATTATATTAAATGCAAAATCTATCATCATTTTATGATCAGCAATAATTATACTTGAACCATATTTCTAGGTATTTTTCTCCATTTACGGTCAACCACCCACTTTCTGGAACGCCATCACCAATAACAATCCATGTTCCGTGTGGGCCCCATCTCCTTCAACTTCTGAAAACTCGGTCAAATTGAGATCGACCTTAGCTTACACTTTACACCACCCTTTGACCTCAGTGCCACTCACTCGGTTTCGTTTATTAGCTTCAAAATTACGGCCCCCCGTTCACATCAAATCAAACACGATTATTTGAAGTTAAAGATAAATGACTTGTTTTAGCTTTATTATTTTTACTAAATTATTATACGAAGTTTTAAGATTGATTATATGCGTTCAAATTATAACCATTTACTTATTTAATTATTTTTCCTGAAGACTTCTTTTTCTATTCACGTGCAGAGAAAGCAATGACAAGTAAAGTTACCTTTTTTTAAGAAGAAATAAAACACGAATTCAAGCCTTAAAAGTAAAAAATTTACGTATGAAAAAGCTGAACCGTACTATTCTGCAATAAAAAACTAATCTTACATTTCAATTATAAAAATACATTAAAAACAATTTTTGTCTATATCATTCTACTTTTCAAAACTTCAAAGTTTAGAATTAAATCTTCGAGAGGTAACTTATGAAAAGTATAGATATCATCATTATTTTATGTATATGTCTTCCTCATTGTCCAAGTCCACTCTGTTTTTCTCCACCAATCATTATTTTCTCGCATTCCAAACACCATTTTCTGTGCTTATCTAGCAGCAGCAACAACAACAAAAAAGAAAAAAAGAAGAAAAAATTCGAACTTCAATGTCTTCTGCATCCTTTCTACTTCTCTTCCTTTGTTGCTTTGCAACTCCTGCATTTTCAGACCCAAGAGCCCAGAAAGCAGCTTTGGTGTGCACTAACAAAACTGCATCAATGCCTAATCGTCAAGTTTTCATAGCAAACTTTTTGGGTGCCATTGATTCGTTGACCTCTATGATTTCAAGACAAAGATATGGAGCTGTTGTTAATGGGACACAGAACTTAACTGTGTATGCTTTTGGTGAATGCATGAAAGATCTTTCTCAATCAGATTGCAACATGTGTCTTGCACAGTGCAAGACACAGATCATTAGGTGCCTGCCATTTCAGAAAGGTACACGTGGTGGCAGGCTCTTCTTTGATGGTTGCTACCTAAGATATGATGACTACAACTTCTTCAATGAGAGTCTTAGTGACCAAGACACCACCGTTTGTGCCACCAGTGATTTTAGTGGGAATAGCAGTGTTTATGAAGCTAATGCTTTGGAGTTAGTAAGAAATTTGAGCTTTTTAGCACCAAAAAATGATGGGTTCTTTGTTGGCTCTTTGGATCGAAAGAACGTATCTGTTTATGGGTTGGCTCAGTGCTGGGAGTTTGTTAATGGCACTGCCTGCAAGAACTGTTTGCAAGATGCTGTTACTAGGATTGGTTCTTGTACAACAAAAGATGAAGGAAGAGCATTGAATGCTGGTTGTTACTTGAGGTATTCCACACAAAAGTTCTATTATAATTCTACCAATGATGTACCTGCTGGAAATCATGGTGAGCTAGTCCTTTTTGCTATGAAACTTCCCTTCTTCAAATCTTTTAATCTAGAATTTAGCTCATCGAATCTCATTTCCTAATAAGTATGTCTCTGGTTTTGATATGAATTAATGATGTTCTTTTTATTTGCTTCTTTCATTTATGACATATCTAGGCAATAGAACTCAAATATACCAAATTTGTAGTGTTTTAAGTTATATATCTCTTATTTATTTATTTCTTGTAAGTGATATTCAAAGGACAGATTTCACTCTTTTGAGCAATTTTAGGTGGACCTTTTGCCCTTGATGTGTGTTTGTTATGGAATTTAATTTTCTTATCAATTTGACAATATTCATTACATTAATGTGAAAAATACTTTAAAACATCACTATTCTGATAAAATTTATAATTAAAACTATGTTACTGTATGTTAGGACACCGGCGTATAGCTATAATTCTGGCTGCATCTTTTGCTGCCCTGGCTCTTCTGCTGGTTGCTGCAACAGTTGTTTTCTTTGTAAGGAGGAATGCACTGGCGAGGAGAAGAGGTATTCAATGTTTGATATATATTTAGGACTGATAGATTATCCAAACTCAAAGTACTGAAGATTATTGTAATGTTGTTCTTACCTCAGAAAGAAGACATTTTGGTGCACTTTTGGACACAATGAACAAGTCCAAGCTAAATATGCCATATGAAGTTCTTGAAAAAGCTACAAACTATTTCAATAATGCCAATAAGCTAGGACAAGGTGGATCAGGTTCAGTTTATAAAGTAAGTATTTTCTGATCTTATGTCTTACTATCTTTTTGGACAACATAATTGTTGCTTACAGATGGCATCACTATAGTTTTTGTATCAATATAGGGAGTTCTGCCAGATGGAAACACAGTGGCCATAAAAAGGCTTAGCTTTACCACAACACAATGGGCAGATCATTTCTTCAATGAGGTCAATTTGATCAATGGCATTCATCACAAAAATCTTGTAAAGCTTTTGGGGTGCAGCATTACAGGACCTGAAAGCCTTCTTGTTTATGAATACATGCCTAACCAGAGCCTCCATGATCACCTTTCTGGTTGTAATTCTATATCTGGTATCCTGTCTTAAAGAAATTTCCTTTAAATTACGTTATTTTACTTATGTCTCCTTTGAACTGCTCCAGTTAGAATGATTTCTCAACCGCTGACTTGGGAAGTCAGGCATAAGATCATATTAGGAATTGCAGAAGGCATGGCCTATCTTCATGAGGAATCACATGTTAGAATCATTCATAGAGACATAAAATTAAGCAACGTTCTGCTTGATGAGAACTTCGCTCCCAAGATTGCTGATTTTGGACTTGCTAGATTGTTTCCAGAAGACAAGTCTCACATTAGCACAGCCATTGCTGGAACACTGTAAGTGCATGACCCTCTTTTGTATCTTATGTTTCCAACATCGATGTGTTCCGTATGTGCCATCAATGTGGGAAATGTCTTTCCTTAGGTGAAGGGAAGGTGAATTTTCATTAATCAAAATTCTGTCTGCCTTCTGTTAATTACTGTTTTATAACTTGTATACTGCATGCAAGCTTTGTGAAGACTAACACTTTTGTTGCTTACATTCATTAATAGTGTTTTTAATCTATTTTGCATTGTATTATGATAAATTCTTTGTCTACAAAAAATGGTTTTTTCTTTCCCTGAGCAGTCTTAATCACCACTGTTATTGCAGTTCAAATATTTTAGATTGTAAAGCACTTCTATATCTTGTAAGAAAAAAACCTTATGTTGATTTCTTGCTCATATACATTGGAAACAGAGTTCATATGCTATTCCTGCATGATTCACTTACAGTTAATTATATGTTCAAATTTAGGGGTTATATGGCTCCAGAATATATAGTTCGTGGAAAGTTGACTGAGAAAGCAGATGTGTACAGTTTTGGAGTTCTGCTTGTTGAAGTTGTATCTGGCAAAAGAAACAGTTCCTTTGTTGTAAATTCATCCTCTATCCTACAAATGGTAACTATTATCATCTAGCATGATGCTACTGTATTTTATTAATCCATTTCATGCTTTTAACAAGACAAGTGTTCTCATATAAACATCATTTTTTATATTCTCCTTTTGTACAAGGTTTGGAGCCTTTATGGATCAAATAGGCTCACTGAAATTGTTGATCCAACCCTAGAGGGAAATTTTCCTGTAGAGGAAGCATGCCAACTTCTTCAGATAGGGTTGCTTTGTGCACAAGCATCTGCAGAGTTGAGACCATCAATGTCAGTAGTTGTTAAAATGATTGATAACAATCATGAAATTCCTCGGCCAACGCAACCGCCATTCATTAATTCTGGTCGTTCAGAACTCATCAGATCTAGTTTACCTGGAAAAAACTTTCAGCCTGGATCCAACACACAGTCTTCAGGGGATACCATGACTGAAAGTTTGATTGAGGCTAGATGAGTTGAACCACACAATCTTTCTCCTGGAACAATTTTGTGCTCACAATTGCTAAGTACCCTTATGACAGCTTTTGGCAAGCCTTCATTCTTAAGAAAGTATGGTTTCATTTATCAGCATGGCATTTGTCACTACTTGCATAGTGACATAACCCCACATATGAACCATCTACCAACAGTTAGAACTAATTGTTATGTATAGATTAAACACAAAGCTGTTTAACATGCTTTTGCATAAAGTTATTTTACCTTGTGAAAAGAAAAGAATCAATGAATAGGATATCTATGTAAATATTATACTATGTGCTTTTATACCATTTGAGTTCTCTACTAAGTTGTGGATTCGGGCCTTATAACACTTGATTGGAGCTTTCTACCATGCACCTAAAGTGAAAGGTGCATGCATACTACAACAATTTTACTTTTATATCACCAATAATTGTTTGTTTTTACTTTTTAGTATCTTATGTAATAATTATTTATTTTAAAGTCCCTTATGTTGTTGTTATTTACTTTTTAATCCTTAGAAAATTGTTATTTACCTTTTAGTCTAGAATTCTTACAAACTCCTACTTCCTCACTTTGGAGTCATCAGGTAAGCGGGTTTTTCTTGGTCATAAAACTTTGACAACGCGGTTACAGGGGTGTTTTCATATTTTTTAATATTATAAAATTGGAGTATTGAAAATTTGATATGAGAACCACCTAAAATATGAGAACTTAACAAATCATTTCATAGAACATGATCTTTCATTTCCTTGAATGTTATAAGGAAATATTTTAATCCATATTAGTTGAAGGTATGATTTTATATTAAAATTTTGTAACACATTTTTTTATAGAGGAGTTCATTGGACTTAAAGGGATGTCATTTTACTTGTGTTAAGAAATTTCATAATTAAATAATTATTGAAAACATGAGAGCAGTGATAATTGAATTTGTGATGTCTTAATCGCAAGCTTTAATATTATATAAAGAATTATATTAACCCAAAAATTTAAGTTATCAGTGAATGTATATTAGACTTCTCTCACAATGTGATAAACACGATAGAAAATGATAAAATTTTCAACAAAATAAATACAATCTTTTAATCCATTCATAATAGTGCCTTCTATCTGATTGTATCCATGCCCAAACACCGGTTCTATTCTACCATTTGACAATTGAACAAAATCAAAACCTTCCCCAGCTAAAGCTTAAAGTCACACTTTCACATTAGAAACAGAGCTTTACTTGTTTAATATATATATATATTTTTTAAATAAGGGTTTATCATCTATCATTTAATATGACCACAAAAATTTTTCTACACACACAACATTTTGTGGGGCCCGCAGCAAAAAAAAAAAAAAAAATTCAGCACGCAAAACGAATCTCTATAACATAACACAATCACTTTTCCTACAACATAACTCTTATAAAACCCTTTAAATAATCAGTTTTTCATAGCTAAAACTTGGGGGACAATGCTCTCCCGAACCAATTAACATAATAAGTCAAACGTTCGAGGCTGTAAACCCGGCCACGCGATCGCCAAGGTTTTTAACCGTTAATGTCTTAGTCTGTCAAAATCAGTTCACAAATGACAAATCCTATTATAAAAAACAAACTTACAATAAATAAATAAATAAAAAATCTCTGTTGACAATCCCATAGTAAAATCATTTGATTGATGGTTTTGTTATATAGGCAATGCAAAGACTCTTTATCTTTTATAAAAATTGAATTGCCACCGACACAAGTCGGTATTTCATTTTATCTTTTATAAAAGTATATTTTAAAAGAGATTTGCATTTATCATTTAATATAATCACACAAAATTTTTTACACACACTATTTTGTGAGACTCGCATGTTTTGAAGAATAAAAAAAAAACTTCAGCACGCAAAACGAATCTCTATAACATAACAGAATCATTTTTCTTACAACATAACTCTTATAAAACTCATTTTAAAAAGAGAAAAATATTTATCCTTTTAAATCAGACAACTTATATCATTTCACTCTCTCCTTCTTTATCTATCTCTTAAAATTGACACAACTTTACATCTTTTAAAATAACATACATTTTTCCCTTTTAAAAAAAAAAAAACAAAAAAACTTTACACAAAGAATCATGAGATTTTTATTAAATAAACGGGTAAGACTTTGAGCACAGGGCAAAATGGTAAATTACGATGACTTAACCGCGTAGATGCACTATTTTTCTGGTTGAAGTGAAGACTTTTGAGCACTGTCATGTCGTGCTCTCTCTTATTTTCAAATAGTAAACTCTTTCATTTTCAAGTTCCAACCTACATTCTAATTTCTAGCTAGCACATTATCCGTGTTTGGCTTTATTCCTTTCTTTTTGACTTGGATAAAACTAAAACCTCGTCTGAAACTTGGAAAGTTGGATGAGATATCATGGAGAACTTCAATTGAATTCATTTCAGGCCTTAAATGCACAGCACAGGTAAGAACTTCAATTCTCTTCTTCAAAAACTTCTACAACTTTAGTAACAGTTTTGTCTAATTCTGTTTCTGATTTGAGAAATTATAATATATAAACATGTTTGTCTACTTCTTCTATTCATGTTAGCATAAAACTATTATACCGATTATATAAATCTACTGTTGATTCAAATTTGCTTTGTTCAAATATTTTTCCATGTTAAACAGTATAAATTTAATTCAAGAGTTCTTGTTCTAGTAACATACTAAATGGATCCGAGAATTTGACCTGCATAAAAGGTAGTGGGTTTTATTCACAAGAGTAGATTGATATCTAAAAAAACAATATAATTTATAACCAATTAATGTACAATAAATATTCTAAACCCTCCTTTTCTGCAGTTCCTTGTTGAGAAGCACAACTAAGAGCACTAGAGGAAGTGATTCAGATTCCATCATATCAAAAATGGAGAAATTAGTCTCTCTTGTCCATTCTCAATGCCTTGTTTTCCTTCTCATGAAGTATCTATTACTATCAGAAACAGTAATGGCAGAACCAAGGGCTAAGACAGTAAAAATAATATGTGGCAATCAGCTAGAGCACAACACAACTATCTTTGTTCCGAATTTTGTTGCAACTATGGAGAATATCAGTGAACAGATGCGCAGCACAGGATATGGCACAGCAGTTTCAGGGACAGGACCTGACATTAACTATGGTCTGGCTCAGTGCTATGGAGATCTTTCATTACTAGACTGTGTGTTGTGTTATGCAGAGGCGCGAACGGTTCTTCCCCAATGCTTCCCTTACAATGGAGGTCGTATTTACCTTGATGGTTGCTTCATGAGGGCTGAAAACTATAGTTTCTATAATGAGTATATAGGTTCTGGAGATGAAGCTGTTTGTGGAAACACAACAAAGAAGAACTCGAGTTTTCAAACAGCAGCAAAGAGTGCTGTTTTGAGTGCTGTTCAAGTTGCAACACTCAACAATATAGGCTATGCAAGGGAGAAGGTTGTTGTATCAGGAACAGCTAATGAGTCAGCTTATGTTCTGGCTGATTGTTGGAGGAGTTTGAACACAAGCTCTTGCAAAGCATGTCTTGAGAATGCATCTTCTTCGATATTGGGATGCTTGCCCTGGTCAGAAGGGCGAGCACTGAACACTGGATGCTTCATGAGGTACTCAGACACAGATTTTCTTAATAAGGAACAGGATAATGGAAGTTCAAGAGGTAAATAAGTTGCAGTTTTCTTCACTAACATAGCATAATTTATTATCATGGTTATTGTTTTAGGATCCAGCTTTTAGCATTAAGAGAAATTAGCACCTAATAGGGGTTCGTTCTGAGTATGAGTTCATTTTTCTTACTTGTGCAGGTAATGTAGTAGTGATAGTGGTTGCAGTAGTCAGTGCAGTGATTGTTTTGGTGATTGGAATAGCTATTGGGGTTTATATCCGCAAACACAGATATATTCAAAAGAAACGAAGAGGTAAATGACTTATTTATACATTTGCTTATAATAAAAATATCAAACACAGAAATCACACCATTCTTAGTTCCTCAATGGTGGAAACTTGAAGTTGTATGTACTGTGTATTTATATCATAATCCCAGTCTCTTACTACTCACCCCTATTTCTGCAAGGAGTTTCACCTTGTCCAATTAACAAATCAAGGAACCATCGTTGTGTTAAAGCACAAGTATTTTCAACATGTTTCTTATCTCAATTCTCATTCTGCTTTCTAGGTTCAAATGATGCAGAAAAGTTAGCCAACACCCTTCACCACAATAGCTTGAACTTCAAGTACTCTACACTGGAGAAGGCTACTGAATCTTTTGATGAAGCTAAAAAGATTGGACAAGGAGGATTTGGAACGGTTTATAAAGTAATTATTTCCTCTGCTGACCTACATCCCCATCATTTTACATATCAAAACCACTCATACAATTTGCTATTGCAGGGAGTTCTGCCTGATGGAAGAGAGATTGCTATCAAGAGGTTATATTTCAACAACAGACATAGAGCAGCAGATTTCTACAATGAAGTCAACATAATCAGTAGTGTGGAACACAAGAATCTAGTTAGACTGTTAGGGTGCAGTTGTTCAGGACCTGAAAGCCTTCTTGTATATGAATTTCTACCCAACAAAAGTCTTGATCGCTTCATATTTGGTAATAACTGAACTCATGCAATTTGAAAATGCCTCCATTTCATGGGCAGTCATGAAGTTTAATGTAACTTTTCTCATTTTGTTTTTCTATACATGCTAGATAAAAACAAGGGTAGACAACTAAACTGGGAGAAGAGATATGACATTATCATTGGGACAGCTGAAGGATTGGTCTACCTGCATGAGAGCTCCAAAATTAGGATAATTCACAGAGATATAAAAGCCAGCAACATCTTATTGGATGCAAAACTTCGTGCTAAGATTGCAGATTTTGGTTTGGCTAGGTCCTTTCAAGAAGATAAGAGCCACATCAGTACAGCTATTGCGGGAACTTTGTAAGTATTTCTTTCAGATAATGCATCTTTTGACAACTAATAACATAACAGTATTGAACATATACTAGTAAAAAGCACGCGCTATTGTACAAAAGTAGTAACCACTATGTATTATACCTGAAATAGTGGTATGCTCATTATTTCTTCCTGGACCTGCAGGGGTTATATGGCTCCAGAGTATCTAGCACATGGTCAGTTAACAGAGAAAGCAGACATATATAGTTTTGGAGTGTTACTGCTAGAAATAGTTACTGGGAGACAGAACAACATGAGCAAAACATCAGACTATTTAGATAGCCTAGTTACATTGGTAAGTTGCACAATATTCCCAAGTTAATTTGTTCAATTTTTTTTTCAAATGTACCTTTCTCTTGGTTAACACAAGATTGCATGGTGAACTAACTTACCCTTTTCTTCGATTAATATTATGACAAAATCAGACATGGAAGCATTTTCAGTCAGGGACTACAGAACAATTATTTGATCGAAATCTAGTGTCGAACGACAACCACAGTAGCCATGTTAAGAATGAGATGTTAAGAGTGGTGCACATAGGACTTCTATGCACCCAAGAAATCCCCTCATTACGACCAACTATGTCAAAGGCACTACAGATGCTAACAAAGAAGGAAGAGCACCTTGCAGCTCCCTCTAATCCACCCTTCATTGATGAAAGTACCATGGAACTTCATGGCAATAGTGACGACCCATTTTTACCTCTCAATGCAGCAGATTCAATAGCTACTATTTCCCATAGCTCTTTTTATCCGAGGTAATGGGAAGCTAATACTGTACAAGTTACAATGTTTGAACTTTGAACACAATTTTTCACTGAAGAAAAATTTAAGGAAAAATATATTACTATTACTTTTTTTTTTTCGGCATGACCCTACTTATCCTTTTTGACGTGACAATTATCCAACTATACCCAAAAATTAAAAACTCTTTCCAAAATTCAAACCGTTATTCTTTTTAGTAATTCGTCCATCCTTGGAGCTCTTGAGCCAACCCTCCGGGTTTATATTACTATTACAAGTTACTATTATATTATGATTTGAACTGTTAAACATGATCTAGTAGTAGGAAAATATATTTTTTATATTGCATGAAATAAAATTGTTTTATTGCACGAATTGAGTGGGACCTACTAAGGAGAAGAAAAAAAAAAAATCTGACTTACCTTTTTGTGTGTATGATATAACTGTCTGGTCATGAGAAATGTATTTCCATTGATAGTAATGCACTTTTGTAGTTTCTTTTATGTTTTTAAACCTGACCAGAAAGGGTAAAAAATTGAAAACAAGCGTAGGAAATGAATTCGGTAAATCCCATCTAAGTTAAATCATGTTATTGAAGACAGTGGGTGATATTATATCACTAAGAGATTTGAACCCATGTATAAGGCAGAGGAGGTAGATGATCAGAATTATCACTGTGCAATTATAAAAATATTAAAAACAGACTTACTTGTAGTCAGTATAAAGAATCAGAACAGATTAATGTATGCAGTAGAGGAATTAAATCCGAGCCCACAGAACGTGTCTCCTTAAGACAATTTGCCCCCTCACTGATGCCAAAGGTTGATGGACACTTGTCTCCCAGGATAGAACGGATTTCGTCTGAAGAATGGTGGCACTACCAATCAACAGCCCAAACGAACACAACAAAATGCCAGAGGAAACTACACTGGAGTATGAAAAGGAACATGCAAAACCGGAAGGAGAAAAATTCCGGCAGAGTTTCAGTGCAGAAAAATTGGATCCATTTTCTGAAGGTGTCAGTGTCTATTTATAGACAACGTAAAGTCACGTTCCAAAAGGCACCTATTCGACGACGAAACAACACATCCGTTGGACACGAAAAGACACATTCGTTCGACACGAAAAGACACATTCGTTCAACATGAAGAGACACCCATTCAAGGATGAAACAACATGTCCGTTAGGATGAAACAACATGTCCGTTAGGATGAAACAACATGTCCGTTAGGATGAAACAACACATCGTTTAGGATGAAACAACACATCTGTTTGTCGACGAAAAGGCACACCTTTTCACTACCAAACTTCTTATTCATAACCAATAGATTGTCTATACAATTTATATATATATATATATATATATATATATATATATATATATATATAAATTCCAACAATCCCCCACATGGATAAGAAGTCAAATCATCGTGACAAAAAAGTGCACAAGAGTATAAATGCAAAGTGTAATTTCCTCAACGAGAAACAACTGCATCGAGATAGGTGGAGTTACCTTTGAACCTTCTCTAGTGGAAACCTATCGGATGTACTCGGTCAATTGGTGGTCTAGGTCGACTTGAACCGTCAACCTTTAGTGTATACCTAGACAATAGGAGTCACACAATTGCTTCTCTAGCATTGTTGGTCCTTTGTTGCGCCCATTTTGGCCGTGGGACACCTGCCTGGTTCTGCGAGTGTTTTAGAGAATCGGCCTTTGAAAAATTCTCATAGAAGCGGCCCTCACTTCACACTCACATAGGTGATTTCTTGTGATGTAACTCACTATACATCATCTGAACACAACAGATTAAGAAATCATTAAAAGCCTAAGTGCTTACCCTCATAAATACACTGTCTTGTCTTAGGAATGAGTATGAGTTTAAAAACTCCACAGTGTTTAAACAGTCGACCATCACTTAGTTGTCTCTTTGAACCTAGTTCATGGGATCTCCACTCTTCTAGGTAGAGTTACCGCAATGCTCAACAATTGATAGGCCTTAAACCCATTCCTTTCGACAAATTTTCAACCAACTCTCTAGGAATCCCTTTGGTTAACGGATCCGCTATGTTTTCCTTAGACTTAACATAGTCAATTTAAATGATTCCATTCGAGAGTAGTTGTCTTACGGTATCATGTCTACGACGTATGTGTCTAGACTTACCGTTATACATGACGTTCTTGTCCCTTCCAATAGCTGCTTGGATATCACAATGTATGCATACAGATGGTACCGGTCTTGGCCAATTAGGAACATCCTCAATAAAATTACGAAGCCATTCGGCTTCTTCACCGGCCTTATTTAAAGCAATAAATTCTGCTTCCATGGTTGACCTTGCAATGCAGGTTTGCTTGGACGATTTCCAAGACACAGCACCTCCACCAAGGGTGAACACATATCCACTTGTGGATCTAGTGTCGTTAGAGCCGGTGATCCAATTTGCATCACAATACCCTTCTATAACCGCGGGGTATTTCTCGTAATGCAAAGCATAATTCTGAGTATACTTCAAGTATCCCAAAACTCTTACCATAGCTTTCCAATGATTCTCATTTGGATTACTGGTAAAGCGACTTAACAGACTTACTGCATAAGCAATATCAGGTCTGGTGCAGTTCATAACATACATAAGGCTTCCCAACACTTGAGCATATAGCTTTTGTGATGTAGTTTTACCAGTGTTCTTTAATAAACTCAGATTAGAATCTACAGGGTTCCTCACAGGAGTTATTTTCAAACTCTTGAATTTCTCAAGAACCTTAGCTACATAGTGAGCCTGTGATAAGGCCAACCCTGTAGATGTTCTATGGATTTTAATACCTAGGATAACGTCTGATATCCCGTTATCTTTCATATCAAACTTACTTTTAAGTAATTGTTTAGTAGCATTAATCATTTGATTATTACTACCCATGATTAACATGTCGTCTACATAAAGACAAACAATGGCAAAACCATTTTCAGTATTTCGAACATAGACACATTTGTCACATTCATTAATTCGAAATCCATTTGACAACATAACTTTGTCAAATTTCTCATGCCATTGCTTTGGAGCTTGCTTTAACCCGTAAAGGGATTTTATTAAGCGACAAACTTTCCGTTCTTGTCCTGGAACAACAAAACCTTTAGGTTGTTTTAAATATATCTCTTCTTCCAGGTCGCCATTTAAGAAGGCGGTTTTCACATCCATTTGATGTATTTCTAATCAATTTAATGTAGCTACCGCGATCAACATCCTGATGGATGTGATCCTTGTAACAGGTGAATAAGTATCGAAATAGTCGAGACCTTCACGTTGCCTGTAGCCTTTTACTACAAGCCTTGCTTTATATTTATCAATAGTGTCATTCTCTTTCATTTTTCTTTTGAACGCCCACTTACTTCCTAAAGGCTTATTGCCAGGAGGAAGATTTACCAATTCTCAAGTGTGGTTGGACAAGATAGACTCTATCTCACTATTGATAGCCTCTTCCCAGAATGGTCCTTCCGGGGACGTTATAGCTTCCTTATACGTCCGAGGCTCATTTTCTAATAGATATGTCATAAAATCAGGTCCAAAGAATGTGGCGGTCTTTTGCCTCTTGCTACGTCTAGGTTCATCTTCTACATCCTCTATAGGATCAGTATCAGTTGTAGCATCCTGAGGTATCACAACCTGATCATCATTATTACCACTTGATTCAGGTATCCTCTTATACGGAAATACGTCTTCAAAGAAAGTAACTTCCTTTGACTCAATAATCGTATTAGCATGTATATCTGAGACATCAGATTTATACACTAGAAACCGATAAGCACTATTATTAAGTGCATAACCGATGAATACACAATCCACGGTTTTAGGTCTGATTTTCAACCTTTTGGGTTTAGGAACCGCAACCTTAGCCAAGTACCCCACACTCTAAAGTATTTCAGGGATGGCTTCTTTCCTTTCCATACGTCGTATGGTATGCTCTTTGTCAAACACCCCCACACTTAAAGATAATTCAAGGTAGGCTCCTTACCTTTCCATATTTCATAGGGGGTGTTCTTAATTTTCTTGTGGGATACTTTACTGATTATATAATTTGTCATTAAATGACTTTTCCCCAAAAAACCAGACATCAACAAGATCATATCATTTAATGTCTGGGTCTTTTTCTCAGCAATCCCATTGGATTGTGAAGCATAAGGAGCAATCATTTGTTATATGATATCACACTCCAAACTGAACTCCTCGAAGGGTCATTATAATCTTCCCCTCGATCGCTCCTTAATGCCTTTAACTTTCTTACTGAACATTAACATATATCAAATAATAAATCCAATTTAACCATAAGATAATATACAATTATCATGTCATTTACAATATTCAAAGTTATCCATTGACCGTGATCATGCCACCACTATGATAGCCCTTTTAAGTTCACATAGTATCAAATATTTCACTAGATATAAGACTTTTATATCCATCAAAGCACATAGTGCACTTTTTTAAGCAAGAATTATCACTTGCCTAAATCATAAAGTCAAAACTTTCCCATTTATAAATCATGATTTAATGGATATCAAACATCATCATATACCATCAAATTCATTAAGTGTACCATATACAATTGAATGCCAATAAATGCATGACATTTCCCACATAATAATTAATATAACAAAATATTCATGTCATAAATATTTCTCATTTATCACACTCGTCATTTCTGTTATACAAACAAAAATCAAATCCGATTTAATTGAATTAAATGAATTTGAAGATTTCAAACATGCAAAATCTTTACAAAATATGTTGCACAAGTGATATTATCCATACATGACTATCGACAAAAAAAAAATATGTATTATTGCACCGTTCTTAACTTCCAGTATTCCAACCCAATTTAAATATGGAAGGAAGGTTTAAAGCAATTATGGTATCAACAATCCAACATCATGCATCATATCTATGCATACACAAATGCAAACTTCTTGATATACAAAAAGATACCTCACCGTAACTATATCAATAATGGCTGCCATAGTTATGTATTTATTATAATATTATAATGCCACCATTATTGCATACACGTTTTGACATGCAA